GAAGCATGAAGTGCTCTAAAACTTCCTGGTAGACGGCTGTGTTGACCTTGGACCTCAGGAAACACAGCGGACCAACACCAGCAGATGACATAGCACCCCAAACCATCACTGACTGTGGAAACTTTACACTGGACTTCAAGCAATGTGGATTCTGTGCCTCTCCTCTCTTCCTCCAGACTCTGGGACCTTGATTTCCAAAGGAAATGCAAAATTTACTTTCATCAGAGAACATAACTTTGGACCACTCAGCAGCAGTCCAGTCCTTTTTGTCTTTAGCCCAGATGAGACGCTTCTGACGCTGTGTCTTGTTCAAGAGTGGCTTGACACAAAGAATGCGACAGCATCCAAGCGCGGCTGATGAAACCAAGGTAGAACTTTTTGGCCATAATTCCAAAAGGTATGTTTGGCACAAAAACGACACTGCACATCACACAAGGAACAGCATACCCATAGTGAAGCATGGTGGTGGCAGCATCATGCTTTGGGGCTGGAACCGGGGCCTTAGTCAGGGTGGAGGGAATTATGAACAGTTCCAAATACCAAGCAATTTTGGCACAAAACCTTCAACCGTCGGTTAGAAAGATGAAGAGGAAGTTTACCTTTCAGCACGACAATGACCCAAAGCACACATCCAAATCCACAAAAGAATGGCTTCAACAGAAGAAGATTAATGTTTTGGAATGGCCCAGCCAGAGCCCAGACCTGAATCCAATTGAACATCTGTGGGGTAATCTGAAGAGGGCTGTGCACAGGCGATGTCCTCGCAATCTGACAGATTTGGAGCGCAAAGAAGAGTGGGCAAATATTGCCACATCAAGATGTGCCATGCTAATAGACTCCTACCCAAAAAGACTGACTGCTGTAATAAAATCAAAAGGTGCTTCAACAAAGTATTAGTCTAAGGGTGTGCATACTTATGCAACCAGGTTATTTGAGGGGTTTTATTTCTCATTTTTCCCCCTCAAAGATTTCAATTAGTTTTTCAGTTGAATTGTTCACATTATAGGTCTTTCTACTACTGCTATCAACACTACTGATCACAACAAAGCTCCGGCGACTAACGTTATACTAGCCGAGAAATCTCTGCCCCATGAGGACTGCATACTCCTTTAGAAAGCGAACAAAAAGATTGCTGACCTTATGGAAGACATCCGATGACTTTCATAGATACAGGGATGGGGCTGCCTCTCCAGCGCTATGCAGCCCTGTCTGACAACACTCCGGTCCATCCAGCAGATGCACCTGCGGCTTCGAGTCTCCCTGATACAGATCCCTTTCGGTGGACAGTGCCTGTGGTGGCACACTGGCTACATCTCCTGCACTGGGCCGCCGGTCTGCCGCTGGGCCTGATCGGCGGCCGTCATCCCGGACAAAAACCTCCGCTTCCCGACGTAGGATCCTGAAAGAGGCTGTGCTCAGACGCTCCGGAGGCCGTCTCTATCCTGCACCGTTGGGTAGCCCTTCTCTCAGGTCTGTTATTGCTACTCCAACACAACACTCGGCAGCTCACACACTCCATCCTCAGTCCGCACGCAGTGTTGAAGCAGATTCTGCTCAGTCCTGCTCTGGAACCCCACAACCGGCATCTCCTCATCCCATTTTTTTCCCCAAACACTTCTTTAATGCTACCACGGCTAACATTTAAAAAAAACTCCAGGACCTAATGCCATCGCTCCCGTCCTCCATCACAAGAGTGACAGTCCATGTGGGAACAAATGACACAGCTCTTCAGCAGTCTGAGCTGACAAAATCAGATTTTAACCGTCCAGTCCGCCTGCAGGGCTCACAGTGTGTGTTATGTCGATAACGTTAATATTTTCTGCCATAGAATGTCTCTGTTTAAGACAGACGACTTCACCCGGACAAACGGGGCTCAGAAATGTTAGCTGCTCACATACAGCATGTGGTGCGGTCCTCCACACATGACTTACGTGAATGACTAATCATTCATGCAGCACACCTGGACACACCACCGGTCACTGAACAGAACTCTGCCACTAACAACTGTCTCCACCTGCTGGCATGTAAAGCCGTCTGCTCCCAGCGCTGCTCCAAATACTTCTATTCCTGTCATCATCACGCATAGACCAGTAAACCGAAATGTGCACATCCCACACAGAAATCATAGTAATCTTATAAGGATTAGGACAACTGCACCAACTCATTTAAAATGACTCTCTTCAATGTGAGATCACAAGTAAGACTTATCTTAAATGATTTTATCTTGTCTGCAAATCTAGATTTTATGTTTTTTACTGAATCCTGGTTGCAAATGAGTGACTATAGCCAGCTAGCTGAACTGTGTCCGCCTCAGTATGATTGTTTTAGTCAACCGAGGGTCAGTGGTCATGGTGGTGAGCGTGTATTGGAAAAAATTTAAATGTCATCAAGTACGCTGTGATGAATTTAACTCCTTTGAAGTTCTCACTCTTAAACTTGGAGGGCTGCAACCTATCATATTTACCAATTTCAAAACTGCCTTTTATTGCAAAGATTTTAGAAAGAATTGTGTCCAAACAGCCCCTCACTGTACTGGAAAATAACAAATTATTTGAAAAGTTTCAGTCTGGTTTCAGGAAGTACCACAGCACTGAGACTGCCCTGCTTAAATTCACTAATAACCTTTTAATGTCTGCTGATGAAGGCATGTGCATGTACCTTAGCGCTGCTTTTGACACCACTGATCACAACATCATGTTAGACAGACTGAGGCACTGGGTGGGGATCTCTGGTACTGCCTTAGAATGGTTTTCATCCTACCTGTCAAATAGGAAGTTCTGTGTGTCTGTAAACAACTATGTCTCTTCGTTCTGTCCAGTTAAATATTGTGTTCCTCAGGGGTCAGTCTTCGGACCCATTTTGTTTTCCTTGTATCTGCTTCCCCTTGAACATATTATCCATAAACATGGTATTTTTTTTTCATATTTATGCTGATGACACACAAATGTACTTGCCCGTCAGATCCACAGACCCTGGAATGCTGAGTTCACTTAACAACTGCCTTTGTGAAGTTGTCAAATAATTTCCTCTAGCTGAACTCAGACAAAACACAAATCCTGGTCATTGGGTCCCAGCAGTAAATCACATTAAGGCTGTTGCAAAGAACGTTGGTGTTTAGTTTGATAGTAATTTAAATTTCGAGCAGCACACCACAAAGCTTGTTCAATCATGTTTTTATCAACTTAGAAATATAGCAAAAATTCGATCTATGTTAACTTTTAAGGACACCGAGACCATTTTACACACCTTCATGACATCATGCCTGGATTATTGCAACAGCCTTTTCACTTGTTTAACCCAAAAATCTACTGCTCAACTCCAGACTGTCCAGAACTCAGCTGCCAGGCTTTTAACCAGAACAAAGAAATATGACCACATTACCCCTATTTTAGCTTCATTACACTGGCTCCCAGTATGTTTTAGAATTGACTTTAAAATTCTATTGATTACTTTTAAAGCTCTTCATGGCCTCTCGCCTTGTTATATTTCTGACCTTTTAGTCCCATACACACCAGCACGTACCTTGAGATCCTCGGGCAGAGGTCTGCTGTCTGTTCCAGAGTCTCGACTGAAAACTAAAGGGGACAGAGCGTTTGCTGTCAGGGCCCCGAGGCTCTGGAACAGCCTGCCTGAGGAAATCAGGTCGGCTGAGTCAGTGAACTCTTTTAAGTCCCTTCTTTTTATAGGAGAGCTTTTCCCGATCTTATTTGACTTTATTTTATCCCTTTTATTTTATTCTATTTTACTTATTTTATATTTATCTTAAACGTGTATTTTAATCTTTTCAATGTTTTCTTGCTTTTATCATGTATTGTTTTTGTATTATTGTCTTTTGGGTATTATTGTCTTTACACTTGTTAAAGCACTTTGTAACTTGTTTTTGAAAAGTGCTCTACAAATAAAGATTATTATTATTATTATTATTATTATTATTATGAGGCACAGTTATGCAGTTATACAGTTATTTATATACACATACATGTATATACCCATAACTTTCCACAATGCATTTTTTGATTTTGTATCTGGGGTGAATGTAAACAGCAGCACCAAGATGATAATATGGTTTCATCTTCACATTAAAAAGTCTGATATTTAGGAAATAGAGTCCATCTTAGCTGTGTTTGAGCACCAAGCGTCATTGATGCAAACACACCCCCTCCTCTCTGTAAAGATGTTGGTCTCTGAGAGTCTCTGATTTCTGTTGCTTGAGTCCCATTTGGTCCAGACCGGACCTTTAGGAGCAGCCTCAAGTCAAAGCTGGGCCAACATGGCTTCTATCACGGCTCACTTTCCTCTCCTCTGGGCGATCAGCACACTCACTGTGGTGCCTTATCTGGTTGATTGGGCCGGGTGGATCATGGTTTTAATCCAAAAGCCTTATCTTCCTTTTCCAATGTCATTTTATTTCTGTCATTCTTTAGCAGATCCTATAGGAACTGAGGCAGAGACAAGCTTGATTACAATCATGTTCTCTCCCAGTTTTTAATGTTCAATTTCAAAGAAAACTTCTCAAAAACCACGTGTGGGCAGCCTGTACAGAAAAGCTTTAATACTCCTTGGCTATAATAAGGATCACAGTAGTCCTGCTCTCAGGTGTTGGTAATGACTAGATTCCATAGAGACAGTGATGCGCAGCTGGTTGAGTTTGTGTAGCGTCACTGTAGCATAGCAACATAATGGTCACCATATGGAGATCCTGCACTGTTTCCTCGCCGGAGCTGTCCGACACATGAGTACATGTGAAAGCACAACAATCATCCAGCATTTTGGCAACGCAAAAAGTAACAAACTCAAAGTAACAGTGTATCACTTGCTTATTGATTGGAAATTAACGTCCTTTTGCCCTCCAGGGGAGCGTTTTCATTGGAGTGTGACGTCACATGAAAACTATGAATTGGCTTACACTAATCAAGGACATGAATTTATAAAGAACATGATAAATTCATTAATGAGGCACATGTTGATTAAAACACATACTGTGTGTATGTGTGTTGCAGGTGTCTGGTATCGTGGGCAGGGCTGACGTCTTGGCCTGTCTGCTGTTCTTGCTGACGTTCCTCTCCTATATCAGGTAAGATGACTTTGTACCACCCCAAATTTTGTGTACACAAACACACACACACACACACACACACACACTGTTCATGGACACAGGTTTACCTATCACAAAGACTGTCATGTTCAGACCATGTGATCAGAGAAGCTGTGCACTCACAGGCTAATATCAGAATTATCCTAAACTGACAAAGTGCCCTGTCTGCTCTGTATTAAAGGATAATTCTGGTTTATTATTACTTGGGACTTATTTTCATTGTTTGGCCATCCTTTGTATCTGTACTGATGAACATTGTACTCAACAAATGCAATTGCTGAGATCTAGAAACACACAGACACTGCTCAAAATAAGTTTGTACACAAGCAGTCAGATGATCAGACATGTTTTTTTTGTCAAACTTATTCTGAAAAGATAATGAAAGTGAATAGTAAATTACAGCTGTTTACTCACTTCTTGCTATTTGTTTTTCATTAACTTTTTATTGATTCCATTCAGCATTGTCACATTGACATTTAGCATCTCTCACATCAACAGCAGGAATAGACAGAAATTCCTAATTAAACACAAAATTCAGTAAACTACAGATCACTTCTTGCTTTTAACTCATGGTTATGTAAACACAGTTTTCCTGTGGAATGAGGAAGTATTAGTGATGTTTCAGATGTGCTCACTTTCAGTTTGTTTGAAATAAAGTGGTTTAGATAATCTGGATAAACTGTTGGCTTGTTTACAGCCTGTCTGATCATCTGACTGTTCCCCTTCCACAATGTGATCATGAAGAAATGATAGAAATAACAGACAAAACTACAAAAATAATTATTATTATTGTTATTTTAAAAAACCCAACAGAAAAACAAATTACTATTTAATGGTCTGTAATTGTCTACATTGTTGAGTCACATAGTGCTTCTTTAAATAATATGTAGTGTTGAACTTTGTCTCTTTGGAGCTCTGAATGTATGGACACTGTAACATCGGCCAACATAAAGAATGACCAAAGCAGTCCCTTGGGAGTGTTGTAAGGAGCTTTGTACTGCAGACTTGATCAATATTAAGAATGATTAAGATTAGATTTCAGAATTTCAGAATTGCTTTCCACTTAACTACAGTTAAGACTATAGGGGATCTTGCCATTGCTATCATGGCTAGAAATGCAATGATTACCACATTTCACTATTAACTGCGATTTAAAACATCACGTTTAATTAATCGTAAAGGCTCTGCTACACCAAGTGTTTCTGTTGCAGGGAAAGGAACTGTTGCAACTTGCACAAAACGAAAACTAAAAGTTACACGAGCGGTGCACCAGCTTAAAGTGCCATGCTTATCAGTGACATGGAGGCAACTACTTTACACTGGCAGAGGGACCAAGCTGTGAAACTTTATTTCCACCAAAGAAACAAGCAGAAGTCGGCAGTGTGGGAGCAGACTGGGGCGTTACTGAAGATGGCGGATCACCTGTTCAAAAACAAGCCGTTAAAAGGTTGCTGCTAAAGGAGCGAATACTACATCAAATTTGATGCAACACCTGCGGGATCACCACCCAGATTTGGATGCCCAAGTAAAGGTCATACATAATAACTGAGTTAACATTGCATGAAAAGTGGGATTTTCGTCCCTGTGAACTGCCTTGAATCCCACTAATCCCCAGCAGTTATCGGCTCTTTACAGTACTGCAGTAACAATAATGTATATAATTAATAACCCTGCATTAAATAAATACTGCACTTACTGAAGACTATATTCAGGTGATATGTTACATGTTGTTTTCATGCTATTCATAGTTTTCAGTCATGTGACATGTGCGGTAGCGGTGCTCCGATCAGGATTTTTTGGGCCAATCACCGATCGCTGAAAGCCGTATCGGCCGATATCGATCACTGGGTCTATTTGGAGCCTTTTATTTATCATGTAGCATTATACAATATACTGTATATTTATTAAATTGGTCCTAAAAACAACGTATTAAGCGTTAAAGTTAACAGATGATAAAGTATCATGAAGTGTTTATTTTATTGCCAGGAAACATGGGCAACAAATTCCACTCCGTCTGTGTTAGAGACTTAAACCATAGCAGCCTTTGCCTGGTTACTGTGAACATCTTATAGCTTAACAAATATAGCTTTATGTCTATGAAGATTCTCAGTCATCCAGGTCATAGTTATCCAACGAAGGTTAAAATCAAGGGCAACTGGACTTGGTTGAAGATACTGGAAGACGTTTCGTCCCTCATCCAAAGGACTTCTTCAGTTCCCTTCGTTGGATAAATATAGCTTTACTGTGGAATAAACTACAAAAACAGAACAAACAGCATCTTTATAAATTTACTACAACCATAAAAACTGCAACAAAAAAGGCTGTAGCCAAAATATTTAGGAGATAAAGGAGCACAGGCATCATGAGTCGATGATAAACTCTGAAGTAGCTGCTTTTTGTTCTGGAAAGCTCAAGCCGGTTCTGTGGGTTTTAGGAGAGAGAGAGAGGAGCAGAGAGAGGGACAAGGGCTACAGAGAGGAGTCAAAACTGCCTTCAGTGAAAATAAGGAAAATTTAAAAAATAAGAATAGGCTGTTAATATTACATAGGCTACTATATTCATTCTAATTTCATATGGTTTGCCATTAGTAGGCTATAGGCCTTATATCATTTCAGTGGATTGTTTTAATTTTTAATCCTTGTGCAGGAAGCACAGTCTACATATCTTACATGCTGCCACCGACTTTACCAGAGGGAGAGTAGCAAACACTTTAAATACGGCCAGAAGGTTTTTATTTGACTTTATAAAGGTTAAATATACATGAGATTTACGGGGAAACATTTAACGGGTGAGAACGAATACGGGAGAATCTCGGGGAAAACGGGAGGGTTGACATGAGAGGAGCAGAGAGAGGAGTGGGGTAATGTGAGGCTACATCCACACTGCTACGTTTTTAAAACAGTTTCATAACGAAAATGATCTTCTCCGTTCACAGCAGCGTTTCAGCTGCGTATCAGAGTTGATCTCTGGCTATATTAGAACGACTGAAAACACACATCTAGTGGCCGTTCAGGTAGCCTTCACTGGGCATGCGTGTGCCAGTGTAAACATGAAGCAGATGGTCTACTCCGCAGTAGCAGGCGATTTAGTGAAAGAATAAATTAATACAGACCAAGAAACACACCAGGCTTTTTTCTTATATTTAGATGCACTAAAATCATATTAGACAGCATCTATAATTCCATTTAGCAACCATAGCTAAATATAACAGCTCATCCAACAGCATACGCTGAATGGACAAGATAACATTTTCACAACATTTAGACACAAAGAAACATCTCCACACCTGCAGTTTTTACAGAAACACAGACAGACATGAGATAAGAGATAGAAAAAGGTGTCACCTCTAACCAGTGGGGGCTTACCTGATTTGTATTTGTATCAAGCATTTTCACAGCATTTTCATTTACATGTGAAAGCCTCCCCTGGACCCAGGGGAAAGGGGGTCACAGGGGCAACACTGACAAACAAAATCCACGTCAATTACCAGCAGTTCCTGACAGTTCTTGGTTGGTTCTTGGACAGTTCAGTATTGGCCAAAAATTCCCGTGTGCAGCCATCACCCTAAACTTCCACGGCAATTTAACGTGCCATTAGCTGCCGAAAATCCCACTTTTCATGCAGTGTAAGTAATGTGGAAAGTTGGTAGGGAATTAAATATAAACGTGTCACTTACAATCGATGCTGTAGTGATGAGAGTTGGGCTTTCAGTGCAATGTAAACAAACAAAGCAGCATGTAAACTTTCTTACCCACTGCAGCAACAGTGCTGCTGTGCTGTGAAACCCATTATTTTCAATGGCTTGTGCCACGCCAGGGTGGTTTGTTGCTGCGTCGAAGAAGTTGAACTTTTGCGCTGAACCCAGCTTTCATGAAGTGCAAATCGCTTCTTTTCTAAAAGGGCCTTTATGAAAGACAGAGCGTAGTCCTCTCAAGACCTTCAGTCACTGAACATTTAACATTACATGCTGTTGCCCTCTCCTGTCTGTGTTGAGAAAATGTTGCCAGATGTAAAACACTAACATAACATCAGGAGCTTATAGACTTCCAGGACTAATTACCTGCATTTCAGTTATTAATAACACTGCATGAGAGATGTTCTGAATTTCTCATATGTATGGATGAGACTTAAACAATTCAGTTTATACCCCTCCTTAATAACAATTTAAATACATTTAATATTTGTCTTATATTCATAATAATACTTAAATATTATAGATGTATAATTGTAAAGTAATTACTAGTGTTGTTAAATTAATTAATGCATAATAATCGTGATAATCATGAAACCGTGATTATTCCTCTGACTTTAATTGTACCAACAAAATCTATAATTGTTGCATCCCTAATTATAGCACCTAAGCTCTGGAATGATCTGCCTGAGAGGCCCAGGCTAACCAAATCACTATTTTCTTCTAAATTGCTCATTTATATCAGTTAGAATACAGATTGTCCTAGTAAAATGTTGGGTCAATACAGATTGGTGATCCAAAGAATGAATCAAATTTGTAAAGTTTTTGGTGACATATGAACTATGGTCTTTAAACAACAGTGCAACAACAAAAAGAACAACCTGAGAAAACTTTGACTCAAGTTGAATGTGTCACTGACCTTTTTGACTTCAGAGGGATCAAGGGTCAACACCTAGACTGGGAATTACAGCCGAGCCTGACAGCTCATTTTGCTCATAAGGAATAGGAGTAGTTGATAGCTGAGGTACACCCATCTGTTGCTGCAGTGTGTGGAATGCTGAAATTCTAGTTGGGCTGGTTAATGAATAGTTTAAATAATAAGTTGCAGCCCTTATCATGTAGCTTTGAAATCTGTCATATCAAAGAGCCGTCAGACCTCCTTTATTTCTGATAAATGCCGCTAATTTTGTAGCAGTGCTTGTATCTATGATTCGGTTACTGTTGAACAAATGCATATGCTATTGTGTCTGATCCCTGAGTATAAACATTTAAGTGTTTGTAGCCTAGACACAAATTTAAATGACAATAAAGCAAATCATTGTAATTGTTTTAATCTTCCTACAACATGACTATCATACTAAATGAACAGGAAGTGTGGTGTCCTCCTGCCATCCTCTCTCTGCGACTGGGCTGAGGCTTACCTGTTACTATCTGTCAACTTAAATCACCTTTGTTCTACGTCCTCTCTGTCTCTCAGGAGTGTGGGGGTGTATGTCTCTGAGGACGCTCTGCCCTCCACGGTGTCAGTGTGGTGTCTGCTTGTCAGTTTGTTGCTGGGCACCTGCGCCATGCTGGTCAAGGAGACGGGCATCACTGTGTTCGGAGTGTGCGTGCTCTACGATGCCCTGGTGCTCTGCCGCAAGCCTCTCATCTAGTAAGCACACAAGGTTTTTGTTTTGTTTATGTGTTGTTTGTCTTTTTCTGATCTTGATTTATGTAGCAATTGTCTGCTGATCTTGCACACAGTTCTTAAGCAATGTTTGATTTTATATTCTCACAGCTAAACTCATTTCCACCTGGAAGCTGGCCACTGCCACCACAGACAATTTGTTTTGGAGATGAAGAGTGTGTTTTTTTCTGGAGCTGTGGGCAGGAGTAGATGGGACAAGGTGGTCTGTCCCAGACATAATGAGGGAGAGAGTGATGAAGAGTTGGTTTCCCCATTGGCCTTCCTTTTCAACAGGAAATGTGTAGGTTACAGTCTGTCAAAGAATAAAGGCTGCAGCTACAGCTCAACCAGCTGCTGGAAAAATGAAGGGGGTTATCGTGTTGTAGAGGTCAGACATTTTCATGTGGTGTCGTCCACATACGTTGAGGGCATATATGATAATACAATCAATTGAGTACAGCATGACCGTATCAGTTTAATAGAAAGAGGAGCATCTATTTGTAATGGTATTGAAAGTCAGACCGTCACGATTTCTAAATAGCCTGGTATACATTGATACCGCTCAAGCCTTGTACCCATCCCTAGGTATTTCCCCTGAAATATTTTGTTCGCATGACATAAACTAAAATGACGTTGTGCCTGCTGTGTCTAAATTTGCACACCAACTCCATTATTATCATGAAACCCACGATGTACAACAAACACACAGCTTCGACCATGGCGTCCTCCTACGTGTTAACAGTTGCTGTTGTATTTCATATGGAATGTTTGTTACTATGTCAACTGCCGTCGATCGACTATGTCACTGCAGCGTTCCTACTGGCAGTGTGAATGCAAACCGAAAAAAGTCCTTAAAGGTATGTAGTTCTCGGGGAGCTCCCCTGTGGGCAGATCCTCTCAGGGACTCCCTAGAATAGTTTGGTCCCAAAACGCCTATTGTGTCCACATGTTGCCCTAAACCTGATAAAGAGTTCCCCCTGTCCCATTGGGGAGTGAGGGGTGTGTGTGTGTGTGTGTGTGTTTGCGTGCATGCACAGGGTCAAACTACTTGGGCTTGAAGCCAAGAGAGAGTGCAAATCTGGCCAAACAAAGCCAGGTCCGGATGTTTTGGGAGCTTCCCTGCTGCGTAAGCCAGCCTGGAATGTTCCAGAATTAGCCTGCTGCTGCTGTTCTGGGTGAGCTGATAACACACTGAAACACTGCATGCTTAAGGAGTTGTGTGTCTGTGTGGGTGTGTATTGAGTTTAATATGTATTACAGGTTAATTTAGGCAACATACCCCAGGATGTCACTTAGAAATATGGCAAACATGCAGAGGGCTGCAGGGCTAGAGTTAGCGTGATTTATGAGAATGTGTGTGTTTTAGTTTGAGTATGTATCTCCATACATGCATGTTTGTTTCATGAATTGGCATTTTGGAATTTTCTTCAGTGAGTGACATCATGTGACACTATGTCCATAATCTGAATCTATAAGTAAGATTTTGATTATTTTTACTGTTGAACTTGAATGAAATCACAGGACTTTAATGAGGGTATAGCCGGATTTTTAGAAACCCAGGAACCTTTTGAGGTTAGGTCCACTTTTATTTAATTTGCCATACAATGTACTGTACTTCATTGTCTTTTTACTTCATGGTACTTTTCTACCATCACTGAGACGAGGGGGGCATCAGTGTCACTAAACACTAACTTCAGTATTGTTGATGACAAAATGTAGTTCAAATAATAGTTTACCAAAAGCTGTCTTTATTGTCGTTAACAAAAGCAGGTGAAAAGTGTATGGAACTGCTGGAAAATGCAGCTGGAGTCAGGAAACTTACCAGCCACCTCACTAATGGTTGAAACTATTTAACAAATGATTAGCTTAGCAAGATAAAGCACCGTCTTCTGAACAGACTCATTACAAACATTCAATCCTTTTTATTGGGTATCAACCTCGCGTTTACTTGCATATTGTTGAAAAAATAGACTTGAAGCAAAATAAACTTTTCAGGTCACGGCGATGTTCATGACACAGCTGAGACGCAAGCCTGTACGGAATGGTGCAGACTGACTGACTCTTAACAGTGATGTCACAATTTTTCCCAATCTTGAATCAGTGATTAACTTTAGTTATTATTACCAATAGACATGATGGCCCAAAGTATCAAAGTTGTAATAAACCAGAATAATCCATGACACACTTTTGTATCGAGATGCTAAATCACTTTTTCATTGAGCTCAAAGCAAGGCTTTGTTTCTTAGTTTTGGAAAAGTAAAGACATTTTTGAGACATAACATCCAGCTATGACATCAGAGTGTGTGTGTGTGTGTGTGTGTGTGTGTGTGTGTGTGTTTGTGTGCGCGCGCACTTAATGCAATGTCACACTGATCCACTATGCTCCTCTTGTCCCTCAGTCTGTGACCAGCATGGGCTACAGCTGCTGGCGCCCGACTTGTCTCCGCTCTCAGCTCTTTGTTTATGTCTTCGTCTAGATTAGCCCCAGCTGCTATAATAACCCTTAATACTCTAAAACTCATGCACAGACACACAGCAATAACCCTGTGCAGTGGTAGCGGTGTGAGCTTGCAAAGGGCTGCTGCACCGCTATAATGTCAGTGTGAAGCAGGCTGCCGCGTCTGTGGAGGGATTCAGATGTCTCTCAGCATGATTTAGATCTTTTGGTTTGTCTCTTTTTGATGTGCAGCAAAAGTCCTGTTAAACAAACCAACCTCAGCCAAAATGACAAGAACGCTAAAGGGTAGCAACAGTAAAGCAGTCTTTGGTTCCTGGTTTCACTGAGCTGCACAGTGGTCAGCTTCCTGAGACAACTGTTGGGAATCTGGTAGGGCAGGTTTAGTTCTTAGCAAATATCAAAGATATTTATCAATATTATTAAAATTATTAATATCACAAAATAATAATCAAGGATTAATAATTACAGGGCACCAACCAGGGATCAGGGACCAACAACAAAACCACAACAGTCTCAGAAAAGATTTAGTCTTGTGTTACACAGTACACAAGTAACCACAACTGACCCTATTGAAATTGCAACCTTGCAAAGTGCTTAATTAATAGTTTTAAACTTGTTTTTACAAATTCACCGGTGTGAAATGTGTAACGGTGGTCATCATCTAAATTGAGATTTCTATGTTGAAAAACCAAATAGTTATTGACGATTTGAAATGGATTGAATTTAACTCCCTAACTCCACCTACAGTAACAGGCGCATTGAACAGACATTCAGGTCTTGCGCTGCAAACTGCATCGTCTTTGGTGATTTTGAGTTGATCAAAACTGTGAAATGTCTGCCTAAGTGAGCTGTCCAAAATATCACACAACTGGGAGAAATTGAGGCTTTGCCATGGAGCTATTGAAGGTAATGGCTGCAAAAAACGACGAATGTTAAATATTAAACTAACTCCACCCAGTTACCATACACAAGGCTTACTATTTTACTTTTTGACAAATTTTGGCATCCACTTGGCACCGGCGTATCGGGTTTAGTGATATCCCTAGTGGGATGATGGAAGGACCTTAAACAAAGGGATAGGAACCCAGATGAAGGACACACACTACCTGTCCTCACCAAGATAGTGTGAAGCACAGCTGAGTTAGGTTGCCACGCTGTGTGTGTGAATTCTGAGTAACCCTGTCATTTCAGCAGGGAGCCACAGATAATTCTGTCTCTCTCTGTCTTTTAGTGTGTTCACATGTTAAGCTAATAATTTGATTACAGCCAGATTAACCTCTGGAATCCCACACACTCAGTCTTAGTAGGTTCCTAATTACAGACTCTTGCTCAGAGCCACAGACCCGACGACAATTAAAACATTTTTGGTCCTAAATGTGTTTAAAACTGTCCACAAGACAGCTTGACTTTCCATTTAATGTAACACTGTAACAACTGTAAAATAAACTGTAAAAATCTTTTATTAGAGCGATTTACCAGCGCCACCAGAAATCTATTTCCACCAACCACAGCAGCCGGCTTCAGAGGCAGCTTTGGCATTGAAATGCCAGTGTCCCCCACAGCCAACTCCCAACAACCACAGCAGCTGATATGAGGGGCTGAGGCACCAGGATGCTAGCGCCCCCGGCTGTCCACTATCAACCAACCACAGTAATCGACACACCAATTACACTTAAAGCAACCACAGCAGCTGGCTGCGGTATGGGTTTTCAGCACCGACATGCACCCTATCAGCAACTTCAGCTATGGAGGTTTGGCACTGAGATGCCAGCTCCCCCCTCCGCAACCCTACCACTAACCTCTGCAGAGTGCGTCAGTAAGGACTTCGGACACCGAGATGCCAATAGTTGTTTCGAGCTAACATCGAGCTCTCAGTCGTTCCAACCTCAGTCGTTTCGAGCTAACAACCGGCTCTCAGTTGCTCGAGCTAATATCTGGTCGACCATTTTGAGCTCAGTTGTTTTTGAGTCCTCAATCATCGAATGATAGCACGAAACGACTGAGAACAGGATGATAGCACGAAACGACTGAGAACAGGATGATAGCACGAAACGACTGAGAGCAGGATGATAGCACGAAACGACTGAGAACAGGATGATAGCACGAAACGACTGAGAGCAGGATGATAGCACGAAACGACTGAGAGCAGGATGATAGCACGAAACGACTGAGAGCAGGATGATAGCACGAAACGACTGAGAGCAGGATGATAGCACGAAACGACTGAGAGCAGGATGATAGCACGAAACGACTGAGAACAGGATGATAGCACGAAACGACTGAGAGCAGGATGATAGCACGAAACGACTGAGAGCAGGATGATAGCACGAAACGACTGAGAGCAGGATGATAGCACGAAACGACTGAGAGCAGGATGATAGCACGAAACGACTGAGACAGGATGATAGCACGAACATCCAGCTCTCAGTCGTTTCAAGCTCTCAGTTGTCTCTAACTAACATTTGGCTAACAGTCATTTCGAGCTAGTCTCAGAGATTGACAGCTTTGTGTTCACGATACTAACCAT